CCTTTCTGAGGTCAATAAACACCAGGATCTCACAGCTTGAACGCATTCCTAAAGGATTACAAATTAAATTTAGTAAAAGAAAACAATGAGAATAACTGACTGACTCACAGACACATGTTAAGATTAGAAATGGTCAGTTTATTCACATGTTATGCCAAAAAATTATGGGAACAGTCACCCATCCCTCCCTTTTTCTGCTTTGTTTTCTTCGATTGGTTATTTGTTGTTGTTATTGTTGTTGTGGTTGTTGTTGTTTTTTTCTCCACTTGTACTCTTAGTAATATTCCCTAAGCTTATGATGTTACACTCCTGATTAGCTCTTTGTAAAGCTACTTCTACTGAGGTACAGGTATTAATGACTGATTGGCTTCAAAAGTGTCATTACTTCTTACAAAAAAAAAAGATTATGTAAAAAATTGATTTAAACAGGAGTTGTGGACTCTTAATCAACCTTCTCAACCAGAAGTGCATAATACATGTAAACCACAATTAAGGCACAGTGTTACTATAAGTTGTTGAAAGGGTTGTCTTTGAACCTTACAATGGAGCCATCATTGATGATTTTATTAGTAACATTTGTTAAGTATTTCAAATACATACTTAGAGAGGGTAAGTTTTGAAATAAGTTGTGGTGCTGCTTTGGTGCAAGGGTATAACAGGGTAATTAAGTGTTATCAACTGAGTTAATATGGTAAATTAGCCACAGTAAAGAGTTTGTGAGCTGACATTTCAGACATTAGCCCTTCCTATTAAGCTCTGAAGAAGGGCTAATGCTCAAGACCTGGGTTTATTAACTCTTCACAGAGGCTAATTTAGGTTATCAACTCAAATGTTTACACTAAATTACCCTTCTTTGAAAAAAAAAAAAAAAAAATGAATGAAGAGGGGTAATGGTGCCGCATTGGTGGGAGAATATAACAGGGTAATTAAGTGTTATCAACTGAGTTGATAACATAAATTGGCCACTGTAAAGAGTTTAAAAGCTGACATTTCAAGCACTGGCCCTTCCTCAGAATACAGGTATGTATTCTATTCTTTAAAATTACAAAAATGTATTGCACAGTGTCTAGCAAAATAAATCATTAACTTATAGAGAGGCACAGCATTTACTGTACTTATAACCTTTAATTTACTAACCACTGATGACTCCTTCTTCCCCTGGTTCTCCTGGTGCAAAATGGATGTGATTTCTGCTCATTCTTGACAAACCCTGATAAGAGAAAAAAATGTGTTTTTTGCAAGTACCAACTGAGCTAGATGAGGTTGATGAAAAAGGAAAGCAAAAAAAAAATAGTGAAAAAGTAAAAACACCCACCTGAGCTTTTATTAGCTCCCAACACTCACGATAGGTGCCATGCACAACAACTGGTGCATCGGAGGGATCTGTGATGGGATTAAGTTCAAGGTCATCAACCTAAAATGCCAAAAAAAAAAATCAACCAACAATTATTAACTCTTTCACTCTTGATATCTTAATGAAGATACATCTCATAACACATTTCTCATGAATCTTTTTCTGAGAATTTAGTGTTATTTAGTGACAAATAATCCCTTAGTTTCATTGGCCAATTTGAGCAAAGGCTGGAGTTGTTTTGTCCATTTGCACTTTAATCCAGAAGTCAGTGAAAAAGTTGTGCATGCTGGATCCAAGGCCCACTTCATTAGTCATCGAATGTTTAGATCATATTTTTTCATATGTATATTGGGCTGAACAATTATTCAAGTTATTATCATAAATTTTAAATTATTAGTAAACATTTATAGCTGTTCTCATCACTTGGCTGTTTGATATTGAATTGTCATATTGTAAGCCCTAATAATATAACATAAAACTGAAATCCTGCATCGTGATTGTCTAAAGAGATTTCTTTTCTGAAAGTCAACATTCCTAATCCCTTTCAATGCAGAAATGCTAACCTCGATGGTGTGTCCTTGATTTGCTCTGATTTGCAGCCTGTTTGTCACTGGATCAAGTCTCAGGGCAAACCTCTTCTTGTCATTCTCATCAACAACTTTTCTGATTTCATTCTCAGAATATCTTTTAAACTGTCGTAATTTTAACAGCTCATCAACAAAGACAAATCCTGTGGGCATAAATATCAAATTAATACTAACAAATATATTCTATAATCACTGAGTAAACCATTCTTTTCCTGCCCAAAAAAATAATAATAATTCATTTCTCTCAAGAATCTCAATACATTTTAAAACAGATGGGTGATGGAAGAAAAGGAAAATTACTGAATACATATAATGAACTGCTAGACTTACAACATCAAATTCTCAGATACAAGATGTGTGTGACAGATGGTGAGACGATATGATATTTTGAATCTTGGGAGTGAAAGTGTTAATACTACTTGATGGGATTAATTTTCTTTTAAATTCAATGTGGAACTTTTTTACATTAATTTAAGTCTTGCAGGTCTTCAATTGAGTGCATGAATTCAGATTTTGATGTTGTTCCAGAGGCCATATCCATCTACCCTGGGCTTAATTGGTACTTCCAAGTTGGCTTGTCATGAATCAAATGCTTGGAGAGCAAGCCATGACTCTGAGTCTTACACAATTGCAGGATCTCAACTGCTTACTAGTAAGTGGGGATGGCTCCCTTGATTGCCATCAGTGTATGATTTTGACAAAGTTAGCCAGTTTTGTTTAGGGCTTGGATCACTCAGTACCAGGATAAACATTGCAGCAGCAAAGTGAACCAACATGGCTTGACCAATAATACAATTCTAGAAACATTTACCTTCAGACATTTTCAGCCCCTCTTTTGATGCACCATGTCGAAGAATGTATGAAAGAGCTTTGGACAGTTGAATATTGTGACCTCAGTCTGACAAAAGAAAAAAAAATTACCTTTTTTTCCCTAATGAAATTAGTCAGGTTGTATCAAATTTCACGGCAGGAAATATCTGCAGGTAATTATGATAATTACAAAACTCGTTGTTTTCCTGGTAATAATATAAAGCTTCCGACAAACTAAGTGGCTTCATGAAATGCCCCTATGTAGAGACAAACGAATTAAATTACGAATTTCGCCGTAACCTTAACGCCGATATCTGTAGACCTAGATCAGGTACTACACTGTCACTTATGAATTATGCTTTGTGATAGTAAACTAGGTTGAAATAATGTATAGGAAAATATGTGATTGGTGAAGGGAAAAATCAAAAGTCTGTTAGCTAATTAAGCCACATGTAACGAAAAAACAGTATCGTAAGAAGGCATGTCCGGTGAGAATGATCTACAGTTATTCATTGACCTAGGGTAGGCAGTAGAGAGTAAAGAGTCATTATCATTTATTGAGAGGAGATTGACAATGAAAGTTTTGTGATAGCCACCGCGACCCAAGGCCGGAAAAGTGGGCCGGCCTCTCCATCATTCAAATCCATAACCTTTGTGAATCAGTCTCCTTTTACACTGTCCTGGATTTATGGATTTATCCAGAATATTGCTCGCTCTTGTCTGAGACTGGGAGTGTTAAAAAATGCTGGACAATCGAATTTTACTTTACGAAAAAGTTAAACGGATGTTCCTCACCTTTAGCGGCTTTCCAGCGCTTGCCTCATCTGCGAGTCGCTGACTTCGCGAATTGTTCATTTTAATCAAAAGTTATTTCTAAACATAAAAAGCTTAACTTAAATATCCCCCATTTCATCTGGTGTCCTAAAAGTCCCCACAAAAACGAAGAAATCATCCTCTGGTGTAGTTATTGCACCACAATTATTGTATGTCACGCATTCCAATTAGTTACCAGGACCTGCTCATTCGTATCATCCGTCACGCAGTCAAGCACCAACCCGACCTTTTAAGTGCGGTAAAAGTGAAAAAACTGTCTAAATTTTGAATCAATAATGACTATATCTTGTCTTAGTGTGTCTAAACAATATCTATACACCTTCTCTCATATCACTAATAAAGCCTTGTCATTTGAGAAACTTTTTCATGGTTCACAAACCGTCGGCATCGTCATACAAAAATGCTAAGCGAATACCACTTCCCACACCGAGACGAAATAATGCATACGTAACTGACTAAACCGTGTTTCTCGGGCAAAAAGAAATAGCGCTAATTAGTAAGTAATAGTAAAAATAAGGATTTGGAACTCGGTGCATGGGTATTCATCCTAGCACAGCATTCCTTAGGTCTCAGGAACATAATACTCCAAAGTACCCGCAAAATGACAATACAGAAAGCTTGAGAGATGTTGATGTCGAAGAACCGATTAACGGCATTCTAAAAACATCAGCAGGGTGGTTAGATTTCGCTGATATCGAACATTCAAACGACTTTCAGTTTTTTTTTTTCGCTTAGATTTATTTATCAAATTTACCAATGAAGCTTCCTTAAAACTTTTACACTCTTTCTGACTTAAAAAAAAATTGAACCCAGTGAATTCCTTATTCGTCCCAACGTGTCTCAGCCTGAAAATTGTATTCAACTCTAATCTGAAATCGGCGTTTTTCAATAAATCGACTGAAATATTTTAAGCCCCACAAAATGCAAATTATAAGTTAGTTCATAGATATATTTACTCTCGTTTTGGTAGATAATGACATTTCTGTGGGTCGACATCAACTTAAGATTGTTGATTGAAAGTAGAACTTGCTAAAATATTTAAATCCTTAAATTAACGTCTTAAACTTCTCGTGTTCCTCTCACTATTAAGTATTTTGGAGATAACTTATTTCAATTGTGATCATTTTTGTTGGAAACCCAAGTAAAACTCTAAATTTGATAAATTAAACAAAATTAGAGGGATTGAGAACGATTTGTTAACGTATTGAAAATGAAGACAGGGAAGTAAACACTGACAACAAAACATACCACAAAAACCATAAACCAATAAAAAGCAATCGCAAAACCTAAAATAAGTTAAATCAAAGAGTATCTTAACCCTTTAACTCCCATGAGTGACTAACATGTAACGTCGCCTTGTGATCTCAATGTGTTATTCTGCAGACAGGTTTGGAGAACAGACATAGCAAACAGCTAGCGCGTGTTATCTTGACATAACATTCAATTCTCTTGCCTAATTTGCAAGGAAATACGTGGTAGTCAGTTGGGAGAAAAACTAATTGGATCTTGAGAGTTTAAGGGTAGGGGACCACTATAGACCACCCATTTCTGACATCAGATTTCATTGAGAAGTGCTTTCCATGATTCAACTTTGGATACAATACCAATACACATTCTAGCATTCGACTATTGATAATGTTGAACCACATGACACGGACGTGCTTGTATACCGACAATATCATTAGAAACTTCCCGAAGTTATCCGAAGGTGCACCGAACGATTACGATCAGTCACCGACCGGTTTAACTTTAAGGCTCGATATCCACCAAGAGATCGCCCGCCTCTAAGTTCTGGTTCAATTTGACGGAAATCTTCGTCACAGTTCCGTCGATAGGGGCAGTCACGTTAGTCTCCATCTTCATGGCGCTGAGAACAACCAGCGGGTCTCCCTTCTTCACCACTTCGTTCTCTTTTGCTCGGATGCCGACAACTTTACCCGGCATGGGGGCTCCCACGGAACCTTTGACAGATTTGTCGGCTTTGGGATGTCGCTCAAGAGTCTGAGAAAGGAGGAAGAAAAAAAAAACAATTGTCAGATCGCATGAGGGGAAAAAGTAGCAACAGTAAGAACAATAATAATAATGGCAATAATTATAATAGATCTTTAACCTGTGAGACAGAAACTTAAGGAATTCTTTTTTTATATATTTAGCGGACCATCTGAGAGGCACGAGAAGATCTGGGTTGTACCTGGATTTGGTGCTTTTTACTGACATGGTAACTTTGATTTTCACAAAGTAACAATCCCATGAGTTAAGTCTTCGCACCGAGGTGAACACAAAAAAGACATTGAAAATCAGGATAGATATGACTCTCAAAATTTACATCGAAAAACGTTGATATATACGAGATACGAGAGCTTGTTTTCACGTTAGGGCAGTAGATACCTTTGTTACAGACTTGTCCTCCACCAAAACTGTTCTCAGTTGTCCGTTCATCTCACAGAATACTTCTCTCTGTCCATTCGGGTGCAAGTCACTGATGGCCAGTACTTTGATGTTCAAAACTTTTCCAGGCTCGATCGCCACTTGGAATTCTTCTCCGATTTCAGGGCCAGTGAAGAAGAGTCTGGTGGGTAGTCCATCAACTGGACCAAACTCCTCCCTGAACACCATGTAATCATTGAAAACTTTTGGGTACAGAGCGGCGCTAAGTACGTCCTCATCTCGGATAGCATTTTCTCCTGCAAAACAAAAGCGTGTGCTTAACATTAGAGATTTTCTACCGCTTTGAGGGCTATGAGGTTTGAAAAGAGGGCTAAAGAATTAATTAAGATGTTCAAGTAAGGTTACAGTTTTTGGACCTGTGACATGTTCCGCCTCTGGTAGAGAACATTACGTTTGGTGCAATCTCACCATTGCCATCTGACCAATGGTAACATTGAAGTACTCCCTTTGCCTCTCAAGATCTCCTAGCTAATTCTCCTTTCTCTCCGCCATACAATTCTTATGATTTTAGTCATGAGAATTTGGCATTTAATCAACTTATAACCCCCTTATCATTTTTTTTTCAAAATTTTCTTCCCTTGCCAGCTGTATATTGTATTGATATTGTAGGGAGAAATTCTGTCCTGGTCACTCACGGGAGATAAAGGGTTAAGTCCCCGTTTTCCTCATACAATAAAACCTGTATGATAAGGCCAACCAGGAGGAATGGCAGGGTGACCGTTTCACACAGGTTCACCAGCAAATGACTTGCGCATGTCTTGTGCATGTCTTAACAGTCCAAAGAAAAAAGATAATCGGCAAAACAGTGAGGATATTTGAACTCAAAGTGCTTACAACGTTTTCAGCGATAAATATGGAATAAACTTGACTCGAGAGATTCTTCTTAGATTCGTTTGAGTGGTTTTTCTTTAAATGTCCGTTCGATACAGTGGAAGACGATAAAAACAGGCCTATACGCTTAATAGAGGTGAACGCCTAATACAGGTGAAAAAAAGTTTGCTTAAGGGGGAAAAAAATTCTGGACTTTGACAACCGACCGCTTAATAATACAGGGTGACCGCTTAACACGGGCTCAGCTATACTTCTCTCAGGTTTAGCCATTCACTTCATACCGGCCTCTCCCCTCTTAAAAGAGATCGTCGATAAAAACGAGATTAAACTGACCCTGATCACAGATCGGACGTTTCAAAAATGTCCTTTTTCCATTAAACAAGCTGAGGTACATAGATCGACAAATAATTTATAAATATACAGATTATTGTAAATTTAGATCAACCTGGCGCACTTCTTACCGAATTCCTCTTGCAGTTTACTTTTCAGTGCGTCAAAGTCGAGTGGCTCCAAAGATTCTCCTGGCCTTCCATCAATTGTGGGGCGTCCCTTTAAAGCCTGCAGGAACAACAGAGGGTTTTCAACTAAGTTAACAATAGAAGGCAAATGAGCATTTGTAGGCGGCCAGGTTATTGTGGACGCCATGTTATTTCGTGAGATGACACGCGAGACTGGGAACTGTTAAGTTAAAATGTCTGAGGGCTTTTCCACGAAAGACACTCGAACCTTCAAGAAATTTCAGAACGTGGAATCTATTCACTCATTTAAACCAGTTACTCGTCAATTATGGATTTAATTGCACTCAAAACTGGGAAAGGACTATCAAACAGTATTTAACAAATGTCATTTCAATACTTGTACGATTTTTCATCGGCTTCTGCGGTAAAATGAGGTGAAAGAAGCCGGCTGAATAAGGCAGACGGTTTTTGGCAGCGGTTTCGGTCAGCTTATGGCTTTTATCAACAGCACTGTATTATATTGGATGTCGTTCTTACATTGCACAGACCAAAACGGCTGAAAACTGTCGACGAATTTTGATGAAGAATGTTCACAAGGTAAATGCAGAAACTACAAAGAACACAACCGCGTTTTTCTTGATATGGCCTGGGAACAGGCCCTCTTCATCAACTATTCGGGACGTGCGTTTCTCTGCCCGCGGGAAGATTGGAGACGTCGGGGAGAGGTTTGCTGGGAATCTGGCACTAATAATTATCGGTGCCAGACGCCTTACAGACCTCTCACCAACTCACTTTTCTTAAGGCGTCATACTTAACCGCGGGCGAAGAAACAATCGTGCCGAAGAGCCAATGATGAGAGCCTCCGAGCAGGATATTTTTGAGAGAATTTAAAAAAAAAGTTCTTGTTCAGTCATCGTCATCTATTATGATTCGAGCGTCTTACCCTCATAATGAGTTTGTTAAGTTTTAAAGACATGTACAGCACTTCAACAATTGTCAATAGGATAGTACAGATAATATAACAAGACATCGTTTGTGGGTTTGAGTCGTAAAAAGAACAAGTCTTTTCTCTGCCCTTTGATTCCAAGCATCCAATTTCTCCTCACAATATCACTCCTGAATCACACACCAGAGTCATGAGAATAAATGAAATGATCACCAACTAAAAAAGCTATTGATTGTTAAACAAATTTTCCTGGTCATCACCTTAGGAAATATATGGAGAACAGTATGGAAAATATGAATACCGTTTTTTTAGGGTTGTAAAAGCATTAAATATTTACGTCAAAATTTATTTCCTCTACGATTCAGTATGGTACAGTATGGTGCTTTCAAAATCGAGATTGTACCATAGTCGAAACAGAAAAAAAACTTACGAAATTGTTTACACTTCCTTTCCGGAAAGAATGTTTGTAATAAGGAAAATGCGAGATCCGAAACAATTGGAAGCAGGTGAAGTGATGATCTGGAAAAGAACTTGACGCGTTTGAGCAAACAATTGAAAAGATCGAGAGCAAATGCTGGAAAAAATTAATTAATTAAAAAACTAGGAGAGTTTTTCAATCGCAAGAGGCTGATGATATTTGAAACTGTTTCACAGCCGTCTGAACGAAACAAATCAGGCACTCATCTTTCGTCTCCAGGTGAACTTGAAAAGAAAAGAAAAGAAAAGAAAATTTCTGCTCCATTAACGTCGACCAGCTTTTTCAAACAGAAACAATACAACTGGCGAGTGAAAAGCAAATTGAGAACAATTTCCCGTGGATTGAAGGCGAAAGCCTGGATTTTGGTACGAAACAGTTTTCACATCGATCTTTGGTCTAAATTTCGGCCCGCCAATTTCTTCAGAGACCGAACAAAATTCATAGCATCGAGCTCCAATCGGGGAGAAGAGGCAAGGTACAGAACATGCACAAATGGTTCTGGATTATCGGTTGGTTCCCCACTATTATGGCCGTGGCAGGAAACGCAGTTGTGATTTGGCTCATAATAACAAAAAGACGGCTGCGAACTACAGCTAACTGGTTCGTTACGTCCCTAGCGGCTGCCGATTTCTTCATTGGTATATTTTTCTTCCCTACTCTGTACACCTGCAAGATTCGATGGAGTTTGTGTTCTTCGCAAAAGGGTCACGTTATCACGATTCTCCTGAGTTTTCTGCTGCACGCTTCGGTGGGGAATTTATGCGCGATGACAATCGATCGTTACGTCGCCATTGCGTTGCCTCTCAAGTACATTGTTTACATGACGCCAAAAAGGAGCTTTCCAATGATAGCCGCAACATGGATTTTCCCAGCAGCAGTGTGGATTCTTCACACAGTCATCGTAACGTATTTTGGTGCATCGGCCACGGCGTTTGCTGTAACTGTCGTTAGAAAGTGCGTTCTTGAGTTTCTTCCCATGATCTTCCTGACTTTAGCCACAATTCACATGCTTATGATTGTTCGAAGGCATAAGAAAGAAATCTCGTCTCTCCTGGCCGATTTGCAATATAATCGGCCTATCTCCGACGAAAAGCCGAAAATTTTCCGACGGATCCCTGAGGCGTCCTCGGCGACGGTTGTAGCAGTCGTGGTTTTCATCTTCGTTTTTTGCTACTCGATCGAAACTTACTTATTTTTCTGTACAGTCTGTCCGTCAGCTTTGATAGACGTCGTTTTATTTTTCTTTCTACTAAACGCCGCTGCAAATCCTCTCGCTTACGCGTTCTTGAAGAAGGATATCAGGAGAGAGTTGGGAAAAGTTTTTAGAGACAATTGTTTACACAGAAAAGTAGTCAGTCATAAGTGATTGTGATATTCAAAAATACATGAAGATCCTCGATAACGGGTCAAAAAGTATCGTAAAAAAGTTGATTATCTTCGCTGTGATAATAAATTAATTAATCAATTTTTTTTTCTTGAAACATGGAAGATGAAATAAAAGGAAAATAATTATTCTTTTTTTTTTCAAATAAAACAAAGAAATGGAGTTATATTTGTCGACACAATTAGAATGTTTGCGTCGGAACGCAGAGTTCTTTTCACTTTAAATAACGCAAGTTCAACAAGGTTCTTTGGACACAAGAAAGTCCTCGATTTCAAGTAGCGTATAAGCACGCTTTCTTTTTTCTAGCACAAAACGCTTAAAAAGAAGGTGTAATTTCAAATTAGGGAAATTAACTAACCTTTGTTCGAAGGGGTTCAGGGAAACCGCCATGCGGTTGACCCAAATAACCTTGCAAGAACTCTACCACTGAAGATGGGAAGTCAAGTTCATCAGCCTTGGCGAGCACATCGCGATCATCCAACTTGTTCTGCACCATAAACTGAGCCAAGTCACCAACGACCTTGGAGGTTGGAGTCACCTATGAAGAAAATAGAAATTCTTTTAGTTTCTTAAAGTGGAGTTCTTGTTGTAGATATAAAAACGGCCCAGTCAAGATCATGAAGATTAGCCATCTTGAAGCTTCTTGACCGAATGAAGAATACCTCAAAGCAAAATATCAAGTCATAACAGAAATGAAAACATCCAAGAAATATTTTCCCACATGGAGCTCGTTTTAGTTTTGTTTTTCCCTGCACCCAGGGGTATATTTGATTGATGGGTATCCGTGAACTGCAAGAAAATTTGAGGAGGTGCAACAGATTAGCATCCTCTATGGGGGAGAGGCAAAACTGTAATGGATGACGGGTTGGATTACCGTAAGAATGGTCCACAAAGTTCCTACGATGTCTGCATTAAAATCGTGACAAATGAAAATTTGAAAATCTTTCATCAACAACACTGTCATACCTTCACTACATCACCCAGCAGTTCGTTAGCCAGCGCATATTTCTTTTTGACATCGGTGAACTGATCAGCCAGGCCGAGCGAGTAGGCCTGGAAGTGAAGGTTAGTGTACTGTCCCCCAGGAATCTCGTTCTCGTACACGTCAGCATTTCCGGTCTTCATGGTGACAGTGCTTTCAAACGGAGCGTACAGATTCCTCGCTCGTTCCCAGTACTCGCTGTACTCGTGGACACGTTCAAGAGGAATTCCTGTAGGAGCAAAAACGATGCCAATGTTTTTACTTTTCTCCATGCAGTTGCTGCTCACTAACTCAACAGGACAGCGCCGTAATTTGGGAAGGATCACGAAATGCACAATCAAGAGATGTAAAATGTTTCAGCTTCTATTCAATTCATACCTGTTTCCTTCTCCGTGTTTTCCAATGCCGCAACAATGGCCCCCATGCTTGGCTGTGACGTCATGCCAGACATGGAGTCTACAGCAACATCTACAACGTCGGCTCCGGCCTCCGCCGCGGCCAACATGGAGGCTACACCTGCCCCAGCGGTATCATGGGTATGTACGTGAATGGGTAGCTTAGGGAACTGGGCTCGAAGAGAACCAATCAACAATGTAGCGGCATTTGGCTTTAATACTCCGGCCATGTCCTGCATAAGGAATAAATAGGGACACGTGACTAGTCGTGCAGATATTGAGGAGTCGCATTAAATCATTGGGAAAAATAAGGACAAAATAGAAAGAAAGGAGAGAAAAGGAAATAGAGAAGACCTCCACTCTCGTTAGTTTAAAGCTACGTCTTACACTGCGAATAACTTAAGTATGCTTCCCATTAAAATTTATGTGGACAGTTAGCGCTCTCTTTGAAGACTAGAGCTAGATGGCCAAAGCCTTTGCTGTGAAACAAGGGTAAATGTGAATACGATTTAGTTTACTATTTTTGTTGTCATGAAAATAAAACTCATTTTTCACCAAAAAAAAGGTTGATCCTTTGCCTAATTTTGAAATTGAAAGCTGTGATAATGGATAATTTGGCGTAGGAAGTAATGAGAGAATGAAATACATCTTTGGAAGCAAAAATAGATATACCTTCTTTTGAGGCCAAACGCTGTAGGGATTACTACAAGCATTTTTGTTTAGCATAAAAAAGCTATTAATGAATTAATTATTTCCTTCGTGCCATACCTTGATACAGAGCACATGCGCACCAGAACGTGCCAGTTCTGACGCCAGGTTCATGTAATAATCAATGTTATACTTTGTCTTCATTGGGTTGGACACATCACCAGTGTAGGATATCGCAGCCTCTACCACTCCGCCTGCCTTGCCAGCAGCTTCAATACCAAGCTGAAGGGGAAAAAAGGCGTCAGTCAGAGGTTGAAGGCCAAATGTACTTGCACTGTAAACTCATATGTTTTTGTGGGGAGAACCAACGCAGTGTGAACTAAAACTTTAATACAGTGCAGTGCCTTGATATTTTTGAAACACGCAGTAGAACACGCTCGAAAAGATGATAATGTCACAAGGCCAGAGTCGAAAACGTGTTGTATAAACATCATGAGAAATGACGGCCTCAGCACTGTACTTAAAATCTCCTGAAGATCAGTGGAAGAGCATCCGCCGGTAGTACTAATGGAAAGACCTTGGGGTTGACAGTAAACCTTACAGGGGAAGGGAGAAAGGGGAGGGGGGAGGGGAGGTTACCTGCGATGGACCAGCATCCCGTCTGTGAGAAAAAAAACATATTTCTAGTCGGTTCAAGCGATATAATTTGTAGATATAATATTGTAATTACCTGTAAATTCGGCAGGTAGTTCAAGGAATCGAATACCCTGAAAATATCCATGCCGTTCTGGTGCGCCTTTTCACAAAACTTGAAAACCACGTTGTCGGGGTAACTGGTGTATCCCACCGCATTTGCACCGCGGAGGAGCATCTGAAACGGGATGTTGGGAACAGCTTCTCGCAGCTGGGCCAGGCGATCCCAAGGACATTCGTACAGGAAACGTAGGGCAACATCGAAGGTTGCACCTGTAAATAGATTGAAGTTGCAAAGATGATTAATTTTGGGCTCGGTCTCCCATTGTAGAACGATGCAATTCGTTTTGTTACAAAAGCCGACGAAAGAAAAAATCGCAGCTCCTAAATTGGATTCGAATCCCAGACTGCATTTTGAAACTCTACCAATAAGATACGGAGAACTCGATGCTGATCTTTGACTAGGAGTACAGCATACATCCCCAGCCCAAAAAGTACATTTCTTTAGATTCAATTCTAAGTTTGTTGGCTGAAACAAAAGCTGGCTGAACAAAGCTTCGTAATTCCATCGTTAGGGGCCATTTTCAAACAAGTGTCCCAACTAATCCCGCCTTGCATCGGTTTTGCTTTAACTCGCTCTGTGATGGGTCCAGAAAACACGTATCACCCTCTTAACCAATCAGATACAAATCTAAAACCAGTCGCGACACTACTCGCTTTTTCCCGCGCCTCAGACAGATCACATGTTTTCGATTTGAATTTCCATTGGCTCCTAACCCTAAGCAATTACTTGGATTGCTCTGGTATTGTTTCACGACAATTGATCGAAAAGTGTTCTGGGGCTGATTATTTAGGTGCAGTATAAATTTCAAGGTCGGTTACTGCAATCTTCTGACACCATCAGTGATTTTAAGTCTGGGGAGTGTTGCATATGCACTGACCTCCCCAATTCTCCAAACTGTAGGCATTGGCAAAATAATGCGATACAAAAGGTGCCACTTTGAGCATGTCATGAGTCCTCACACGGGTGGCCAGCAGTGACTGGTGGGCGTCCCTGAATGTCGTATCTGTCAGCAGAAGCCTGTTGCTCTTTCGAACAGCACTGGCAAAACCTTCAGGTCCTTGCTGTAATAAAATATCTCGGAATCCGCTCGGTCTCAGGTGGCCGTAGGAACCCGAATTGGACGTTTTGGGGATCTAGTAGAAAAGAAAGCTTTTTACTAACAAACAACTATTCATAACAAACAGATTATTATTATTAAAGCGTTTTAAGTGAAAGTGTTAAAGTAATCCCTAGATTGCCTAGGTTGTATATCACCACACTTTGTGATACGTCGACAAAACTTACGCAATCCCATAAACCACTCAGATTTAAAACCATCAACAATTCCGATTCAAAAAATAAATGTAAGCTTAACTAAAGTTATCATTGTTCCCATCCATTCTGGGGACATAACTGGAAGGTTTCTGAACGGACGCAGTGTGGCCAAGGGGTCTGGGCACTGGACATGTAATCTGATGGTCCCAGGTTCCACCCTAAAGCTCCCTAGATTTGCTCTCGGTTACCCCGAGTTCAACTCCCTGGCTTCCCTTTTTATATAAGATTGCTAACAAATTCACAAGCTTGTCAGCGCGGAACTTTAAAAAACTTAGGCTAAATTTGTTTTAATGTACAAGACGGCACATAGCCCGTTAGAGCAATACGTTTCATACCTCGGGTGCTTCTGGAGCGTCCTTGGAGGGTTTCAAAGTAGTCGCCAAAGGAGTGCACGGTCCGTTAATCATCACGTTTCCAAGATACTGGAGCAATTTCTGAGCTCGATTTTGACCCCATTCTACTTTGAACAATTGAGGTCTGTGGAGGATGAAATCTGTCCTGACAGCGCCATCTAGAAACTCATCTTCTTTAAGAACATTGATAATGAAAGGAATATTGGTCTGCAAACAAAGCAACGTCACTGTGTTTATTATATTGACTCAGGTATCTTTCTTCCTTTTTCTAAGAGTGGCAAGTGGTAAATCCGAGGCTCACGTTAGCGCTGTGAGCGTGCGAGAAGACCGTGAAAATGTCTGTGAGGAGTACCAGAACCGTCACAGACCCCTCGCAGACCATGCAAAGATTCGCATCGCTCGCGGACTCGAAACCTGCAGGCTTTGCCTTAAGTGACACAGCGTTATTGAGAGGCTGCTCGTTTACTACGAGAGTCTCTTTTGAAAACCGAGACTAAACGATCTAAGCCATACAACTCTTTTTTATTACCATCGCCTTGCTCAGTTAATTGCGTGGTATAGTTGATGACAGTGTTAATATCAGAGTTACGATATTTCTCTTTGGTGCTGGTTTTGCGAGGTAAGA